AAATTGTCCGTAGGTGTGAATGTGAGTGTGCTTGGTTGTCTGTCTCTAAGTGTAGCCCTGTGATAGACTGGTTACCTGTCCAGGTGAACCTGCCTTCAGTCTGAGGGCTTTCTTTGCTGCGTTTCTTTATTTTACATCATTTCAAAGTCAGTCATGAATAGTTTAGTCTGTTTGTATTTAATGAATCATAATGTTGAGTGTTCTGATGTTCTGGTGCTGTTTGGATCCATGGCTGAACTGAACAGGAAACACCAGGCCTCCTGGTGTCCAACTGGTTCCAACTGGTTTCTAACTGGATCTAACTGGTTTCTAACTGGTGTGTTTCAGATGCTGGGAACTCTCACTGCTGTTCCCATCAAGGTGCCTCAAGTCAGCTCCCTGCACCGGCTGGCAGGACAAGCAGCCACCGTGCTACCTCAGGTACAGTCGTTGTTATCATTGTTGTTGTTGTTGTTGTTGTTGTTGTTGTGTCTATGTGTCACAGCTCAGGTAACCTGCTCAGCTGGTCACTCAGTGATGAAATACTGAGAATGTAGTTGTTTACAGTGAAGCAGCAGAAACACAGATTCATCCAGCAGGTGGCAGCAAAGCCTCTTTCAGCTTTTTATTTCTCTGTTAGAGTCTGAGTGTGTTCAGCGTTGGTGTTTTAGTGGCAGCAGGTGGAGTAACGCCGTGTGTCCCTGCAGGTCAGGCCAAAGACCCAGATCCCCGACAGCCTTCCCCTCAGTCCCTGCCAGGAGCTGCAGCCTGTCGGCCTGCAGAGGGCGGCGGTGGTCAGTCCTAAAGGCCCGACGCTGCCCACCGCCAACAGCACCTTCAGCCCCGACCGCCAGCCCAACGGACAGAGTGACGCCTCGCCGCCTCCATCAGGGGGTCCGGACTTGGGAAGCTCCACCCAGCACGCCTCAGCCGGACCCGGCGTCGCGTACGCCATCATCGCTGCCTCGCCGGCTGCCGGAAACGGAGTTTCAGCCGTCAGTGAAGCCGTGAAGGTGAAGCTCTGCAGCTGCTACCCCAACCCAAACACAGAACCCAAACCCAGAACCCAAACCCAGAACCCCGCACACAGGCCTCCAGCAGCGTCACAACATTTATAACAGACGCTTAGTTCAGATAAAAACCCAAAGCCTCTGCAGATGTCAGACGCTTCATGCAGCCTGAGAGTCAACACTGAGGGCAGCAGTGCTGACAGGCCTTCACTCAGTGACGTCAGAACAGAGACAAGGTTCTGTAGAGAACCTCAAACATCAGTGAACAGATGAACCTGATCAATAATCTGATCGATGGTCTCAGTTCTGACCCAGTTTGTTGGTTTCAGGTGATCATCATCCAGCCTCAGACTCCCAGCAGCACCGAGGGGCCTCCAGGGGCCGACGTCCCGCCACAGGAGGCCCCGAAGAAGGACGAGGACCCCGAGGTGAGCCACACCGCACACTACACATCCATATACATGGAGAGAGGTACAGATTTATAGTTTTAACCCTGGACTCTGGACATAGAATCACTTTCAGGATTAGCTTCAGCAAAAACTCCAAACATTCATTGATTTTATTCATTTCTGCTGCTTTATTGATTATTGATGAATTATTGGTATCAGAAAGTGTAACGTAACAATAAAACAGTCTCGTCTCAGATTAATTACATCAGCAGCAGTTCATCGTTTATTTCTTTGTCTCATCCAGAAAATCGCCTTCATGGTGGCCCTCGGCCTCGTCACCACAGAACACCTGGAGGGTGAGTCACAGGTCACATGACCGAGCTGCAGGTTTCACTGCAACACCTGAGCCTCTAGTCTGTAAAGTCCTGTCAGCGGATCGAACAGCTCGTCAGTACTTTAACATAACGAGGGAATATCTTCTGTTTCTGTTGGAACATAAACAGTGAAGAATGTTGTGTTTGTCTGTCACTGAGCAGAAACACATTTCAAACCTGTGAAATAAACCTCACTGTGAAACAGACACACATTTAAATGCAGTTCAGCATCGAACCAGAACCATGAAGTCATGAATAAAGGTCTGACTTTAGTCAGCGCTGCCCTGATGACTGACCATCGTGTTGTGTTTGAGCAGAGATCCAGACCAAGCGGCAGGAGAGGAAGAGGAGAAGCACAGCGAACCCGGCCTACAGCGGCCTGTTTGAGCCCGAGGTCAGACCCTCAGAACCTGATTCACCTGCTCCAGGTGCTGCTCAGTGAGCCGTCTCTGATCCGATCTCTTTGTGTCTCTGCAGCGGAAACGTCTGGCGTCACATTACCTGAACAGCTCCCTGTTCCTGTCGGCCCGAGGTGAGTGACATCAGTCCATGTTCTGCTGCAGCCGTCCTTTAAAAGCTTGCTAGAAACCTACTCCAGGGCCTGTAACTGAAAATATAAAACCCTGCTTCACTAAACACACTAAAGTTCTGGTCAGGTTCTGGTGGTTTGGATTCAGATCAGCTTCATCACGTTTGTGTTGATTAACCTGCTTGGCCTCTAACTGACTAACTCTGCTCTGCTTCACCCACATGCTAGACTCTGAGGACTTCTGCTGGAAGGTAGGTCACATGACTGCTTTGAAACTGGCGGCTGGCGGTCCGTTTGAGGTCACGGTGCTGCGTTCAAGGCTCCACGAATCTCAGAAAAACAAAACCTTTATGTTTAGTTGTTGTCAGTGCTGCCGGGTTCA